CTCTCGTAAGGTTTCTTGTTGCTTCTTTTCTTTGCTCTGAAAATAGCTTGTCGAAGCCTAGTAGCATCGTCAGGATCATCAGTGATAGGATCATCTTGATATTCTTGTACAACATCCCAACCATATTTATCAGCAATACGAACAATTTTGTTTCTTTTATTCAAGAGATTAAACCGTAGAATTCAAAATTTCATTAGCAGCTTCTATTCTGTTATTTTCCAACAAGTTTATTGCTTTTTTAATGTCATTTTCTCTATCTGCGTTGAATTCAAACTGAATTTTATTGCTTTGATATTTAAAGTCAGGTACCTTTTTCTCCGTTGTCCTCTGAGCTAAATTCAATTTGCTGACAATTTCTTGTTTTTGTCTTCTTAACGCCCTCTCTAATTTGTCAGAGAAAATGTCCAGTGCATCTTCAGTTGTAAATTCGTCTCTAGAACTCTGTGTTAAGCCGGGTCGTTCACTTTGAGGTACAGCATGAATAACCCGCTCCTCGCCCACGTGGCTAGAATTTAACTCATTCATAAGTGCTACAGATAAAAACGTGTTCGGTTGATTAAATGCTCGTCGATGACCAGTTCACACCTGACCAACACTATATATACTATGACCTAACAACCACCCTTCAATGTACTTGCGCGTATTAAAATAATTCAAACAAATACAACTAATAGAAATTGATATCTCGTCTACTATCGTCGCAATCTCCCTTGCAGAGTTGTCGTTCGTTTCTCTCTCAGACACCTCCGCGATGGGCTCAAGTCAAGATTTTTGAAATAACGTAAAAACATGGCTTTCCAAGGATTATTTCAAATTAAACTAATAGTTATAGATATATATGTATTAGTAAATACCTACCTTAAAAGAGAAACATTAGTGCAGACATTTAATTATAATGAATTTAAACAAACGCACTATTTCTCGTGTTTATCACTGTGATATACGCGAGCCAACGACAGAGGTGAATGCATGAGCCGATGGTAGAGAGTGCTATCGTCGTTCTTGTGTATTTTTCTAGATTTGAGACTTATTCAGAAGAACTATGCTTTTCCTTTCTGTTAAAAGCTAGCCGAGCTTCAATTTTAGACCAAATACAATAAAATCGCATAAAAACAATTTACAACAAAAGTTTATGCAACATTCACCGATGATTCAATGCATGTTGTGAATGGTGGAGCGGATCAATATCCTTTGCGATAATATAATGATGTCCGTGTCTAGCATGTATCCTCAACTGGTCCACATATATAAAATCGCATTCATTCGTCCATATATTCAACACGCCAGTCAATCACCTTGTCTGAAGCTTCTGACAGAAATGAATTATAGATCAGAGACTATATACTAGCTGTACCTGCATAACTCGATCTTTACTAGTAAAGAAACCGATCTCGAATAAAATGCTGTCATACCTTTATTAAAACCGGTGGACATAGATATTCAGACAAGAATTAAATATACGACTGAAAAATAATTTTAATTATCAATATTCACATTTAGTTAAAGTTAGAGTCAAAATGTAAACACGTGGTAAAAAAAAATCTGCGTTGACGTTCACCGTCACTCAGCAACGTCACATCTTTATGACGTTATTTCTCTGTTTTAGTAAAAATGCCATAAGCACCCTTTTCTCATGGGCGCAATCATATATATATATATATATATATATATATATATATATATATATATATATATATATATATATACACGTACATATATAGAGAGAGAGAAAGAGAGAGAGAGAGCACTAAAACCAACAACACTGTGTCGGATCTACTAATTAGATACAAGGTCAAGAATGGAAATTTATATAAATTTGATAGAAAATATTATATAAAAATAATATAAAGCACTAAAAATGACCAACGACACGAACAATAAAGATTGTCAAATTATCAGGACGCCCTGTCCCTTCCTCAGGACAAAGGAAAAATTTTAGAAGTCATGGTGGTCGCAACTTTTCTAAACCTAAAATGTACTTAGATATGACATTATAATGGAATAAGACGTCGTCACTGCAAGTTTAAGCTGTCATGTCGTGGAGAGTTAAATAAATCCTACTCATTATTTTAGATTGCATGTGAAATTTGAGAAAGAAATTTATAAAATTTGTTTGCCATATTTGTAATCTTAACCTTAAAGATGCAGTTATAATACTGAGTCACTTTGGTCATGTAGTACTATTATGCTTCATATTATCTTCCCAGTATACATGAATTCCTGTGAAAAATTTTGATCATCTTTTGAGGCCCCACCCTAGGCACAGGGGTCATGATTTGAGCAAAAATGAATCAACAAGAGCTGATGCTTCCACATTGATATGAATAATCATAGCTTGCTGATCTTGAGTATACAATTTATTCCCTATGCAATCCCTATTGTGGCTCCACCCCCGGGGCCATGATTTGAACAATTTAGAATTTATACCACATCAGGAAGCTTTAATTTACGTTTTAGCTTTTCTGACCCAGAAGCTCTTGAAAAAAAGACATTTTCAAAGATTCTTCCTATATGTCTCAATATAAAACTTTAATTTCGAACTGTGGCCCCGCCCAACCCTCGGGGCCAAGATGTAAACAAATAAGAATCTACACTACCTCAGAAAGCTTTCACATAAGTTTCAGCTTTTGTGGCCCAGTGGTAATTGAAAAAAAAAGATTTTTTTTAATTTAATCCCACCCTATTTTTGTCTTTCTAGATCATCTCTTGGAATGGGACTTGTCCCTTTATTTGAATATATATATACGAGGGTTGATCCAAAAGTACATGTAATGTCACAGTGTCAATATCTTTTATATTTGGCGTCATATTATCGAATACAGTATACCAAAAAATACACATATATAAATCTTATTAACATTGAAATTTTGTTTTATAAATATTAAATTGAAATCATTTTATGAATGTTTAAAACATAAAGCATAGGGGGTGTCGCTGGGTCACAACTAAACGTCAGGTTTTAAAGAGTATTTTTTTAGGATGAAAAAGATAAACACATTATTAAAAGCATCAAAAATGCGCATAATCGCCCAATAATTTGAAAAGACAAAATTTACATCATTTTCTAATCATCAGTTGAAAATTAAATGACGCCATTGCTATTTTTGACTATAAACATTCGTGTTTAATTCTGATATATTGAACAAAGGAAGTGTCGAAATGGGTAAAAAAAAAAAAAACGCCGCAACGAGCTGTAATGCATTTTGCATTTTTACTTCAAAATGGGGAAATTACCAGTATAGACAGTTACGATGATTAATCAGACTCACAGTGAAATTTAAATAAGAGTCTTGTTTATAGATGATTTCAGCGATTTTGGGGTCATTGAATGACAGAGGACAGGAAGACCGAAAGATGAGAGGTCGGACGGATACGTTTAACTGGTGTCTGATGTTTTCAAAAGACATGCGTGTATCTGTTATGTAAATGGATATGAACACTTTGTCTTACGGTACTGTTAAAAAAATTGAAACAGGATTTAAATATGAAAAGAATGAGTGTACGATGGGAATTCATAAAGAACAAAAAATTGTGAACGTGTTCCTGAATTTTCAATTTTTTTGAGCGTGGGGTGGGGGTAGTAAATGTTTGAACGTATGACGGTGCATATCTCTACTATATGACATTATTTAGATGCGGCGACTTCCAACATCGCACTTTGTATAAAATCCAATATTTTTGAAAGTATAAATCATATTGAGTTAAAAATTTTAGGTCTGATTTGAAATAAATGTCACTTCAATCATTTATAGTTTGGTTGGTTTACGTCGACTAGTATCGATTTTATTGAAGTTGTGACATTACTTTTGGATCAACCTTCGTATATATATATATATATATATATATATATATATATATATATATATATATATATATATATATGAAGCACTGAAAATGAAAATGACCAATTATAATTGTCAAATTTTTGGGACGACCTGTCCCTTCCTCATAACAAAGGAAAAAGTTAAGAAGTCATAAAAACAAAGGAAAGAGAGAAACAAAACAACTAGCACTACAACTAAACTACAAAACACTAAATATTTACATTGTTACATGTTTAATTTGAAAGTTTATAAACAGTTGTGAACAAACAAATCCGGAGCGCTATGAATTGCGACCCAGGGGTTCTTGAAAAGAATGTTCAAAATGTGAAAATTTTAAGATGGTCATTTTTTAGTGCTTTATATAAATTTCCATCCGTGACCTTGTATCTACTTAATTAGTAGATCCGACACTTAGGATATAAAGTGTTGTTGATTTTTAGTGCTTATATATATATATATATATATATATATATATATATATATATATATATATATATATATATATATATATATATTTATATATATATTCCTCTTAACATGGGGATGCTTTTACCAACTTTGGTTAAAATTGACCATGGGGTTCTTGAAAAGAATGTTCAAATTGTGAAAATTTAAAGATGGACACCGGATAACGGTGATCAGAAATTTTCGCTTGAGCTTTCAGCTCAGGTGAGCTAAATCCATTTTTTTTCATTATGATTGAAATTAAGCGCATTGAATACAACAGCATTTTCCTTTTTTCTTTTTTTTTTTTTGGTCTTTGGCTCGATATAGAAGTTAAAATATGTGTGCAAAGAATAGACTTCTGCAGATGATTAAAAAAGGATTAAATTCAGATTTTATTGTAATCCCAATGAGGTGTAAGTTTTGCTTGGGAAGAATTATAAATACTGCTGTTTCATATAAATAATGACACAGAGTGTATGGATAAAAACTTCAAATATGCAGGTATGGTGAACTTTTGGTGAACATATAAAAAAATGTCTGTCACGTAATCAACCAATTCTTGTGACAACACAACAAATGTTTCATGTTTAGCTGAAAGACCGTTCAATTGAAAATGACGGCAGTTATATATCTACTATTTACAATAGAAACTGAGTTTACAATATAATGAGACGATTAAAATGTACACTTAAGGTAGGAGGTCAATTAATAAATATTGATTTCGTAAGGCTAACTCACCCTTCTCAAGCTTATTTCCTGTAATGTGTCCAGCAATACAACTACCATTAGTTCTATAACATGTAGCATTGACACAGTAATTTCTACAGTGATTCTGACAGTTTTCTCCGTAAAATCCCTGATCACATTCTGAAGATGAAAAGAGCATGTTTAAAAATATACGGAACACTGAAATCAAAAGCAGGACTAAACCATAGCAAAAAACTAAGATTGTGAATTTTAATCTAAGGAAATTTTTGGCATGTATGTATTTCTCTTAATTGCATTGTGATTTATGAGAGCAAATACAAATACATAGTATATTAACTCTACAAGACATGAAAAAGGTGATCAGGTGAGCGATGAGCAATACTTTATTTCATTATGACTGAAATAAAGAGCATTGAATCAGTCACATTTTCCTTGCATTTTTGTTTGTCTTTGGTTCGAGTTGGAAGTTAAAATGTGTGCAAAGAAGACACTTGCGCAGATGATTGGTAAGGGTTAATTTCAGGTTTTTGTTTATTGTTATCCCACGGAGGTGTAAGTTTTGCTTGGGAAAAATGTATAAATAACCAATTGTTGTGACAGCACAACAAATGTTTTCATGTTTAGCTGAAAGACCGTTCAATTGAAAATGACGGCAGTTATATATCGTGATTACTATTTACAATAGAAACTGAGTTTTCAATATAATGAGACGAATGTATTTCAAAGGTTCGAAAAACCTTAACAATGCTTCTTTTAGTATTTACATTGTCTTTGACAATTAAGACCAAAAGTATAATATCTTCCAATAAGATTTACCTTTGCTGCAAATTCGTCCAGTCCACCCCGGAGAACAAGGACATGACCCATCTCTTTTATTACATTTTTGAGACTGCTGGCAATGTAATGAGCATTTCTTAGAGCAATTTAAACCAAAGAAGCCATCCTGACATGCTGAAACAAATTCAAGGTACTATTTTTAAAACCAGCTTCTCTCTAGAACTCATTTTTTTTTATTCGTCAGTGTCATTCTTAATCAACAAACCTATAAAAATAACTTCTTATGAAAATAAAAATAAAATACCCTCATGAACTTCTTACGTCTGTCACACTTATCTCCTGTATATCCATTGTCACAGCCGCTGTTGCAGTTTCCATCTACATGATTGCATTTTATGCGATTTAGACAGTGTCCACTGCAAGTTTCTTTACATTGAAATCCGAATTTTCCATCTGTGCACGCTGTTCAAAAACGTTCTCGAAATTATTATCTAACGGATGAAGAAATCAACAGATGTGAAATGATTCAAATGAAATATTTTAGTCATACCATGATGATGTACATACTCGTGTTGCAAAAAGGCTCTGTATACCCAGGTTTACAACCCAAGTCACACCTGCCTATAGTTTTATTGCAGTGAGATCCATTCAAACAATTTTCACTGCATTTATGAATACAACCCGTGCCAAAGTATCCATCTTCACACTCTGTAAATAAAAATCCTAATGCATGTATCAGTATATTAATATTTAAAACCGTCATTTTCATTTTATTTCTGTTTGAAAGTTTTTCGCATCCTGCAGATCAAACACTACACATGTATTGATGTATTTTTACCCTATTCTCCTCCCATAAGCCCCCCTCCCAAAAAAAATTGTATTTTCTATTACATGGAAATTTAAAATAGGGTAGGTAGTTGCAACTAATTATCATTATTATTTTTGTAGGTGTAATTTTTTAAACATTTGTTGCATGGGTGGAGCTTGGAGATTCGATGTCTGTTGAACATAATGAACAATATATAAATTTAGGTTCAGTCAAGGTCTAACCTAGATCTAAAATTCAGGAAGTCTTCACGTATCCCTAAAAGCAAATTAGTTGGTTGTTTTGAAAAGTAAGGGGAACTTGATACACCTATGAGATACAACTTTAACTTCCCCCAGTTTAAACACAAAACCCCTTTACGCAGGATTGTTAAGACACTACCCGGATCATGATTTGGCGAATTTATCCTATTTTAGTAAGGTGTAACATTGATGAAGCGGAAAAGCCAAAGATAAAATATTTACTATTATGATCTATTGTATAGACGTCTTTAAGTCTTAGGCTTGAAGAAGCAATTCACTACGACGTCATCACCTCAGAGAAAAAAAAATTGCCTTACCAATTTTTTTTTTTACATTATGTAGATACGATCGAGGATTTTTTTATCAATTCATATTAACCACACGATTCTAGCAGCACTTTCCAAGTACTGTTGAATTCAGCTTTCTATATAAACAAAAATTGTGATTTAGATATGCGGCGTAGTGTTAAACTTTTGCATCTGTGTTGTTAGAAACGACAGAGGAAAGGCTGATCGGGATTTATTCATTATAAGAATATGATAAGAGTATATCAGCGTACCTGATTCTTGATCTTTAATTGCATATGCAACATACATGAGATTCGCGATTTATACTTTTAAACTCATATTTCATGCATATGTTTACATTAATTCTCATTAGGTTCATTTCACTCTGCAAATATTTGGTCAACATTCGGTATTTAACCCCTGTGACAATGCTATTTATGTCATTCCAAAAATAACAAGATTTGGTTTATATTATGTTTTACATGTGTTTAACCATTTCTTGAACCTGATATGAAACTTTCAACTTTATATATTAAGAAATTATTCTCCCTAAAATTCACGTCATACAGCTTACTATGACTTCATAATGTATAGGCAAGTAGAAAAAAAAATGGCTGTAGCATTAACATTCTCAAGAATTTCTTAATCGATATGAATTCAAATTTAGTAATTAAATTTTTATTCAAATCTGCCCAGTAAATAAAACAGAATATGCGGCAAACCATTTGGTTTAACAATCTTTATTTTAGTACCAAAAAGTCTAGCAAACATGTTTTTATTAGGGAAATAATTGTATTATTTCATGTTAATGTTTCTTAATATTACATAAAACAATGGAATAATATATTTTCCTCGCTAAAGTTATGGTATTAATATTTTTTAAAGTTTAGATACGTTGGAGTTCAGGTTTATTAATTATAATTATTGTCAGCAGCTGAACTGTGCTGCTATGATGGTAAATATTTGTAAGAATATCGTGATCCTTTCATTTGTCGTATATACAGGATATTAAAACACCTACAAAAGGTAAAATGAAATATGAAGATAACGAAAAGTAATAGATCTCAAAAGTCCACTGAAACAATACAAATTATTTTTGAGCAGAGCAAACAAGGACCTCTAAAAACATCATAGATTGGTTCAGGTGCCATGGAGGAGCAAATATCCAATGCCGATCGGTGACACACGTCGTGTGCTCATTATCATGATAGGACAAAGGAAAAATCCCTACGTAGACAATTCAGTGTTTAAATAATGGCCTAATAATTAGTAAGAAAAACATCACCCAGCATTCGACTTAATGATAGATTGACAAAGTAATCATATCGACCATAGAACTTGCGTAATGATTACTTTAAAGGAGACTCTTGATATCCTTATTTCATCAACTTGTTTGTCAATAGCGTGCCTCGTTCAAGAATTGGTTATAACATGGAGCATGCTTTTTCGTATCGAATCAACTGGGATATATAAACCCCATATGCATGAAAATTAAAGAAAGTTGACAATATAAAAGTTGAAGTCCCCACATTTATTATAAAGTTCTGTAGTAAGACTACAACTAACGCTCTTCTCTAGTAAAATATCCGAATATGAAGCAGATGTGTCAGACTATGTGTTATATTTTATTTCAAGTTTACTGGGATATATGGAGTCGATATATGAATGGAAGTAACTACTGTTAATTCATAATATGTCGTCGATATATCTAAATGTCGATTTGAAGACCACAGCAAGTGTCTTATTCTTCTCATGCAGAAGTTTTTTCAATATATATTCTACTTCATTTGAATACAAAAGTAGTTCTGCTAATAAAGGGGCGCGTTTAGAACCCATGGAAATTCCAACAGATGTTGACTGTGCCTATTTGAGGTATTGATTAACATTAAGCAGATTCATTTTGGTAACATGTAAGAATGAAGCAACAGGATAACACTTGGAGGTTTCACATTTTACACAAATAACTTGTTTTGCTTTAAAACAATTGTGATAAACATTTAAAAACAGAGATATTAATTCTTATAAAAAATTGTATCCTCAAAAGAAATTTACCTAAAAGTTTCAAACAAAAAAGCAATATTACCTTTGGTACACATGCTCCACATCCACCCCGAAGCACAACCCCATGTACAATTACCAAACTCATGATGGCAGGAACTGTTGTCTTTGCAATGTCCAACACATTTGTTTTCACAACCAAGTCCATACAATCCATGAGGGCATGCTGAAAAGTTCTTTGAACGTCTAATAACACATTAATCAAAGCGTCATATGACCAAAACAAATTATATAGTCCAGTTAACTTACGACATTTTTCTGATTCTGGGTGATTACTAAGCTTTAAAAATTAAAATACATGTTAAGATATTTTCAATTTCAATTTATACCATTTTAAATTTTTCTTTGAAGTTAAAAGCCTACGTAACACAGTCACAAATTCTTCAGATATGTTAAAAATATAAACCCCTACTGCTTTGCTTATCATTTAAAAATTATAATTTTCTATCTTGAACCTGTAAAAAAGAATAGGTAGACTTTTATTTAACAGTTTTTCTGTTCATACATGTTTCACATTTGTCTCCGGTGTACCCTGGCTTACATAGACAATTTCCATTATCTATGTGACATCTCTGCTCTTGACAGTTTATGGGGCAGGGTTGGTCACAGTTAACTCCATAAACTCCCTTTTTGGCACAACCTGTACAAGTATAAGAACTTGACGACAGAAACCAGTTACTTTGATTTTTCAACGTTTTATTTTTTATACATTGTCATGATGAATAATTATGAAATAACCACTTACTGATCAAATGACATATAATGTAGAATTACTGGAATCAATGACTTCCTCTACTTGAATCTCTTTTCATCACATATTGGTTATTTACCCCTTCTTGTAAATGTGGAAGACAGACGCACATGTGACAAACATTAACTATGGTTATTATAAAACTCGAATGCACTTTTCAAGAATGGATGACTGATTCAAATATAGTACGAATTCTTTGATCCTTAAAAATATAAATGAGGACCCTATATTCATGTTAACGTTAAACCGAGATTGTTTTAAGATATATTATTTGTTTTTTCTTTCAAACCGTTTCTAAATAAAAGACTTTGCTTCCAGAAGTTTTATTTTTCTTTATCAAGACTGCTCCTTCTTAGGCATGCAATGCGATTTTCATGTAAAGTGTAACACATGCTTATAGAGAGCAAAGAGTTTGTTCATCATGTATGCATCTTTTTTACTATATACACATGTTTACAAAAAGTATTTAAATATACACATAATAGAATTGAACAAAGGACAGATTGATGCTTACCATCTACTATCACTTCACACAAGGTTGTGGAACTTGTTGTTTCGGGATAAGTAACTCCCTTCAATCTTTCGTTATAGTAAATAATATATCTTCCATATATCATGCAAGTTGTGTTAAAATCCAAAGGTGGTAGCTCTGGTCCGTCCTTGTAACAAAGAATCCAATCCTCTTTTTTGGTGGAGTTTGAAAGAAAAATGGAAAATCCCGCAAATCGTCCTCTTTGTCTCGTAACTGGAAAGGACACTTCTAACATAATTCGTTTATTTTTATTTGCTTTCTGATAAGATTTTATGATGTTCTTTTACAATCAACCCTAGAATAGGCTACTTTAAGAATCGGAAAATACATATTGCGGCCATCATTTATTGAAGTCACATTTAATTTAGAATGACTCTTGAACTACATACAATGTAGCTGCCCACAGTGAAGAAACATTAATACATGTATAGAAAGCACAACGAAATTTGCTACAAGGTTATATAGAGTTAAAGTAAGATAGAGTCTAGTTTAAAATTCCTTTGTGATCTCTCTCTCTCTCTCTCGATGTTTTAAAATACTTTTGTACGTACATTATTCTATTGACTGTTTACCAACTTCTATATAACTCACCGAAGTTTTTTTTCTGAGTTTGGAATGAACCACACAAGATTATCACGTGTAAGTCTTCGCAATGCGTATTTAAAAGATTAACTATAAGAATACAATTTATGACATAAATAATGTACCGTATTGTGGGCCATAGTCCTTGAATAAAATCCTGATACTGTGGATACTGTAGATGCCACCAAGATCAACTCTCCACCACACACTTGTGTATTTAGAGGATGTTCCTATGGGTTCAGTCCCTGTACACGTTGATGGGTTTCTGTCAACAGCGTTGCTTGCTAAATTCACAGTTTGATCATTTGGAAGAAGAGGAGGAGGAAGTGTTAATATCTGACTGGAAGCTTTACCATATGACAAGTCATCTTTGTCAGAAAAAAAATATTTTGTTAGTATTTAATACCTCAAAAGGAAAATACTTTAGCATTAGACTGTAGCTGTAGACACTTTAGCCCTCCTGCTCAAAAGGATACTGTTATCTTTTCTAGTATTTTTTTTTCGTCATAATTTTATCGTCAGTCATTATCTGATACATAAATTTGAGTTTCAAGAACCCAGGCGAAATAAACTTCATTTTCAGTCAAAATCTGAATATTAAGCTTAACTAATGTAGAAATCAGCCTGTTCCAAATTTAAAAAAAAAGCTCACATCAATTTGTAGTACCCGTAGAAGTTATCTAACACTGTTAAGCGTGATTGAATTTCATTAGATTAATTTCCACCTACAATTTGATTAATTTTGCACTATACGTGCTTCCATGACTTTATATGAAGTGTTGCTCTGGATGTCAAGTAGTTGCTTGTATAATATTTGTGTTGTGATTACCTAGATAAATATTTGTAGCTAAAGAACAACAAACTTCCTATGTTTATCGAAGGAAAATAACAATGGTTACCATTACCTGCATATTTTGAATTAACATTTGATATATTACTGGAATTCTTCATTGTACCTTATCCTACCTCTGGTCTTTTAAGGACATACGCAACGTACCTTACCTACTGATAATTTTCAAGATATTCTTAATTTAAGATTATAGTGCATCAGATGTTCGTAGACAAAAAATCAGCATGTATTACCAGGGGTTTTGAAAAGATATCAATTGATGAAAATTCTTGTATAATTCAAAGAAAAATATACAGAAATTGCTAAACATATATTGTAGATGATTTGTTTATCCAAACTTATTTTAGAAGAAGTGTGCAGCAGCATTAAAATGTAGCACACAGTTCCTTTAAGTATTGGAACTCTTCAACTCCAGGGAAAAAGACAATAAAGTTCAAACTACATTGCGTAAGTCCTTAACAGATCTTTGCGTGGTCTGCTCGAAATTTGTATTAATTGGATTTTTGAGCAATTTTATTTTTAAAAAAAAATTTGTGGAAAGACAATATATTTAAAAGTTTAGTTAGGATAATATAACAATCGCAGTTTTAAAGTTAGAATGATTCATATATTTATGCACAGTATCTTAGCAAAGTGTGAATCTATGACATAGCGAGGATTTGTCCACAATTATTGTAAAATCGTTTCCACATATAGTGTAAGGGATTTAAAAAAAATAAACTATACGTATATTTGTAAGACATATGCATACTTTAGTATAAGGTAGGGGAGCAACTGCAATTCACGTCATGTTCATAGAAAATGTACCGTTTTCTCTTTCGTAAAGAATGTAAGGAAATATAGTGATGAATGTTATATTCAAATTTATTGACCCCTTGCAGCTCCACTGGCTGATTTTCACCTTGACATTGAGACACAGCATCTAAACACGTTTGATTCCAGAAAGGTGTTATTATTCAACATACTAATATTACTGACAACTTTATTAATGAACAATGCGTCATGAATAGCAATCGCTTTGCTAGCATATTTCTAAACTCATCAGAATGTGTGAATGACTGTGTTTTCTTAGGAGAACAACAGGACCGCAGTTAGTCAAAATTGATACTCAAGCATCTTCCTGCAGTGAAAAGTCATATATTTTTAAGGGGATGAAGGACACATGGTCACATGACTCTGTTTAACTACGTCATAGTCTCCGTTTATATAAGTGCAAAACTTGTATAGCATTAGTTCTTCTTTAATTTTTTGACAATTTTTTAACTTTAATTACCATCTTATATAAAAAAAAATTTAAAAGTTTTAACATTCTTGCAAACATTAACAAATTATGAAAAAGATTGATCCACTCCTCTGTTTCCCTAAACTGCGCGTCCAACAAGTCGGTGACGTCATACACGATCTGTTAGTACAGCAGGATCATACTCGGTGAACACAGGGGTGGTATTATTATGCAAAAACAGGTCATAATGAGTATATGATGAAATATTTTGAGAAACGGGGAACAAAAAAATTAATTTTGCATGGCTGATGACGGAAATCTTATGTAGGTATATCTTATTTCGCTTATTTAGCCTACGTGTGACGTCATAGTTGATTTTTCCCGTACTCGAGAAATGTAACATGACCCGTTTTTGTCATGCTTATGTCCTCTTTAACGATGTCCTGTGAAATAATGAGGTCAGCTTCATCATTCGAAATTTTTACAGTTAATCAATAATTTGAAGGATTTGCATTTCAACATAAATTAAAAAATATTGAATGATAGAATTTTTTGTAAATTACGTTTTTTATTGTTTAAGTTGTCTTAAAAAGTGCGTAATTTTCCCTATCCAGATGCAGTGTGATAGACAAAACTTGCCTTTTCGAATTTTAAATCCTAGTTATACTCTGAAATATTTTAAAAGATACATGTCCACTCTGATGATTTTTATATATGCTTTAAAAATTCCATTATGGACAGAGTAATGAGCCCGGAACATGGAGAATTAAAACTCCACTTAGATACGGTAGGGCATAGTATTTGTCAATCAATATCTCCAGAATAAGGTAAGAAACCTAATGATATAACTACTTTAAGACATGTGGGACATACTTAATTAGAAACATACAAAATATGAAAAAAATTGAATGACAAGTATTTTTTCAGCCCAAGGTCCTTCCCCTCCTTAAACGATAAAAACGTTTCTTTGGTTGTATGGGAATCATAATGTTGCAGCTGTTGCAGAAAAAAATAGCCGCCCATACTTACAAACAAAGAAAGACTTTTGAATGTTTATGTCTGTACAAATAATCATAAAAATGTGAATTAAAAAGATTAAATATTGTTTTATTGACATGTACATCATTGTGCGTTTAATTGATGGAAGAGCCACTGCCTAAAAATCTGTACAGGTGATAAGCTTAGCGGTGTTTACTGACTGATAAACGACAATGATTTTTCTTCAAATATAAAAGAGAAATTATTCAGTGAATGTAAATATTAAAAGATAGTCCTCTGGAAATAAGGTTTAACGTTTGCAAAGTTGAATTATAGTTTTCAAAAATATTTTGTTTTGTAAAGAACACCAGGGCCGCAATAGGTTACAGTAAAGCTCGATTATATAGGAACTCCTTCTATATGGGCCACAGTTAATTGTACATGTATTTAAATGCAAGCATTTTCCAGGTGGATTCTAATGTTGTTAACACATTTTTAAAAACCGGCATACTTTGATCATAGTACAGGGATATTTGTAAGGCATTTTGTTTCCTTTAAAAGTATTTCCTCTTTCTCCTGTCTTGTGCTAAAAAATAACTTTTAGCAATATGGCAAATGCAAAAAGTATTAAAGCTATGACGACTCGCTAGTTATAATATTGAATTACAAACAGTCTACACAGATAAGTACAGCTCTGATAGTAACATAGTGCTTATTTCACTGAATTTACAAACACATAGACTATGTACATACTTAAATTAATTTACTTAATTCAGAATTTCTAAATAAATATGTAATATAAAGAAGATCTTAACAGAAGGGAAAATAATGATGTCGATCTACTTACCATAAGCAAATGTCCATCGAAATCTTGATGACAGTATCATTGATTTTAGCATTACTCGGATGAGGTAATCCATATTTCTTACACTCCTTTTTCGTGAAAATAAGGCCAGGAAGTCAAAATCAGGTTTTATATGGTGTGTCTCTTAAATAATATTTACAATTGCTTGAATCCGATTTTTGTAAGTAGTTTTCTCGTTAGCTTTTAGCTCAGATTAGCTTAAAAACTCAAGAGAGCTTTTCTGATCACATCTCGACGTTTGTGCGGGCTTTTTTTTTTTTTTTTTTTAATTTTTTTCCGAGAACCATTTGTATAATTTCCTACACATTTGCACAAAGCATCCTTAATTGAAAGAGATTTAAATTTGCTGAAATTAAGTGCCATGCATTCTTTCAAGGGTTTCAAATACTAAACTTAATACAGTAATAACTAGAACAGTTTCTTTTACATCTATAAGAAAATGAAACTATTAGTCTGAGACAACATTTCTTGGGGCTATTATATTAAGAGTTTCAAATGAAAGACACCCGAAGAACAGCATTGTAATAGGAGTTACTTCTGTTGGCATATGACAGATGAATACATGTGTATATTTGTCAACGAAAGGAACATATAAAATACTTATTTTCATTAAGGTATTTGTATTTTTACAAAATATGCAAATTTATATTTCTTGCTTTTATTTAGTCTGAAATATAAAACACATGAGTTTATATTTTGTTGAAATTAATTCGACTGTACAATGAGTGATAAATCCCTGAAAATAAAATGAAAATATGTGGCAAAACGTTCTCCTTGCGCAGATCGATTCAAAATTCCCAGTTTCAAAATCCGTGTCCGCACTCTTTCCGAAGACAAGTATATCTTCCATAAAAGTTGGAGTCAATTCATTTTGAAAATACGTAGCGCAATGACATAATAAGGAAATTGAGTCAAATGATTATATATATTAAGTTCTTTAGAACATAATTTGCTACAAAATTGTCCTTAAAATATAATGATCTGTTTAGTTCATGTAAGACAAGTAAAGCGATTTGTTGTTAAGATAAACCAAAGAACGTATAAGGAAACATGTCCTCTTAAATTGAGGAAGAATTTAGAAGGAAGGTGCACCCAGGGAAATGATTTATGTAAAGAAATTTAATTTACATTTTAACTGACTTGATAAACAGCTCTTTGTATTGAAATTACCGACTCAATAAAGCAATGCTCTTGTTTGCTGTTTTAGGCTAAGAATTTTTTTTCTCAGTACGAACAAAACTAACACGGTATGTTTTAATATATTTTGCACCCGTTTTCAACCAAATACCACTATTATACCATCCTAAGGACACTTATTAAAACTTAGATTGTCTTGTACCATATAATTCGAACATTTCAATATTTACCATTTAGTCCTTGCTCTCGTGGGTCCTAAGTATTTGTGTAATAGGGATGAGCCTTTCAACCTCACGTCATAACTCGTTCATTACGCTAGTCCTTCGTAACACGATTGTATGAAAAGTATTTTTTAGCTCTAAAAGAGGAGAGAGATTTGAATAAATCAGTTCAATACATCCTGCATTGTATCAGAGTGCATTCCCCTAAGTTATGGGAATACAATGTATGTGAGGACCTTTTCATTACGTGTCGCCGTAACGGTAGCTCAGTCGGTAGAGCGATCGCTCCTTGATCACAAGGTCGTGTGTTCGAATCACGACTCGGACTGACCTAAGTCGATAAAAAATAGGTAGCAACTGTTTTTCGCCATGCGCTCGGCACTTTGAAGTGAAAGTTGAAGCCCTTCACCGGCATATGGTGACGTCTTTAAATGAGTGAAAAATTCTCGAATGGGAGGTAAAACAACATACAATCAATCAATTAATCATCACCTGTCCATGGAAAACAATAAGATTTAGTGAATCATGGACTCCATGCATGATCTGGTTATCTTTTCATAATCTTCAAAATGATGTTGATTTTGAGTGACTTTTTCAGGACATCTTACCTTCAATTAGGAGGTATAAATCAGTAGACATAATTTACAACTAATTTCAAAAGAGTCACTATTTTTTAAA